GTAGTACATTAGGGTTATCCTCGGGAGGTTGTCCCAACCGAATAGCGAGTACTCGATGAACTGACGGGAAAGCATCATCCACGCGGATCCTGTCGGAAAAATTCGAGACGGATAAACGCAAGTATTAGGGGACTAGACGAGAAAGCAAGAGATAGGATGGAAAATAAACGGAACGGATACTTGTAAACTCGCCTGTGAAAAGCCGATACGCAGATGGCATGCTTCGCTTCTCGGTAACCCAAAATACATCCGATTTCTCGAGGCTATACAGCCCGGGATCGATTATTACGGGTTTCGCTCTGTGCCATCTGCAGATTCAATACATACATTAACCAAAATTCACATCTGATTAGAATGGAATCAAGACAGAGAACAGATCGAAATAGCTTACTCTTTCCAACCGATGTCGCTCGTATGCTCGATAAAATTGAAGTCTCGGGGAACTGTCGAGAAGACGTGAAGCAAATCTGTCGAGTAAACAGAACGAACAAACAACTTAATCGGGAGAGCGGTACAACCTAAGAGATTTCCTAGAAAGCTTATTACATGAACCGAGCTAGTCCCGGGTTATTTCATCGAGCCGTGTCATACGTCTCGGGACGAAGCTAACAAAATTTTCGGGTTCCGATTAAAAAGAGTTTGGATTTCTCAAAGCACGAGACTTTATCCGAATTCTTCAAGATCAAAGTGACCAAAAATCTGGTAAGCTCCTCCTCATACATGCATCAAAGCAAGAACCAGCAAGTTTCTCAGTGACCCAATATCCATTTTCATCAAGGGAAATCTATGTAATGTACAAATTCACCATTCTAAACGATCCACCATATCAACAAAATGAGAACAATATCGAATCAAATTCGGAATCAAGGGGCCGAGAAATCGAGAATTTCAACTGAAATCTAACAAGAACCAAAAACATCACCACCAATGTCAGAAAACCACAACGAAAACAAAGACTCAAGAGTTCAGATTTCTCGGAAAAGCTACAACTTTGTCTGAATTCTTCAAGATCGAAGCTGACCACGAATCTTGAAGTTCCTCGTTCGAAAATTATGCATTGAACCCAGAATTAGCAAGATTCTCAGAAATCAATTTCCATTTTCAGCAATCTTGATTGGCCAACCAATGCATACACACATACACACTGATAAATCAAGTATTTCAACAAAATACAACTAAGGATCAGTGGAGAGCAACAATGCCATATTCAGACAATATTTCTCGCATTTCCGAACTCAACAAGAACCAAAAACGTCAGCACCAATTTCAGAAACCACAGTGGAAACAAAGACGAAGCAAATCTAATCATTTTACCGTCTTGAGTGACCAGAGGATAATCAGAAGCACTGAGGTTGATGAACCAATCCCACGCGCCGCCGTGCCGGAGCAAAACCGCCGCCGCGTGAAGCGTGTTGCTCACCATCGTCGGTCCCCTGTAAGTAACCAGATTCGCCCTCACGATCGTTCTCACGTTCCCAACCGCTGCGAACGAAGGCTCCTCCGCCGTAAACCTCGCCAGCTCCATCCGCTCCTCCGCCGTCGCCTCCAGGTCCAGATGAACAACGTACTGATTCCTCGGGTGGTACAGAGCTCTCAGAGCCCTCTTCAAGCTCTCGCAATCTCCTCTCGAGCCGGAGATCAGGTAGGCGATTCTGGGTATGGGTTCTTTTGAAGTTTCCGTCACGCGAAGCTTCGATTCGACGAACTTTGGACGAGGTTTCGCGGCGGCGCGTGGGCTTATACGGCGGCGAGAGAATGCGTAGGCACGCAGGAGTGAGGAAGTGGAGAATGTGGAGGTGATGATGAGGAGAGTGGAGGCGATGAAGAAGAGAATCAGAGACAGAAACCATACTTTCCTCTTGTTCTGATGCTGAAGCTTCGAGACATCCATCAATGGCGGTTTCGGGAAGCGGAAAGAATGATTAGACATTCTGGGTTTCCGAGTTTTTGCTCATCTCATTCATCCAAAACCAAAAGCACAGATTTTCTTCTTGGGATTTAGAAAATCTGATCAGACACTACTTTCATGTTCTTCATCTGATAAAAAAAAAATTGATTCTTTTCAAAAACCCTTGAATCAATGTCTTGGGTTTTGGGAGAGAAGAATCTGTTTGAGCATTGCAAAAGTGTGAGAGGTGATTTGTGGCAATGATTCGTGTAGAATTTTTGGGGTCTACCACTTTTGTGTTAAATGCATATATGTTCATATAGTTGCTGTGACGGTGGAAGAGAGAGAGAGAGAGAGAGAGAGAGAGAGAGAGAGAGAGATTCATCTTCCATGGAAACGAATAAAGAAAAGGTATTTTTCTCTCATCATCATGGTGAATAAAGATATTTTTCGTTGATTTTTATTATATTTGATCATTTTACATATTTGAATGTGAGTTTTGATAGTTATCTAGAAAAAGATTTTTCTTTTTGTAAACTTACCCAACAAAAAACATAGTTTTATTGAATTATAAAAACGTAATAATTAACACGTAAATAAATTTTACCAAATCAAAATAATTTCAATATTTTTAAACATTCCGAAATTCCAAACTCTATGATGTATTTTTGTATGAACTTTTCGAAATTTCCATGTTGTTAATGTAATCGTGCAATTTTCATATAATTTTTTTTTATTAATTTATCCAATGTAATAGGATAGTTTTTGTGATTATAATTCTTTAATTGACTCATCAGTGTAGATAAATGTTGGCATCATTAGATCTTAATATGGGAGTTGTTGGTCCTCCACTTAATGCTTTTAGTTACCACAATACTTGAAAATATTTAAGGCATGAAATATATGGGAAGCATTTACAATATGCTTTTTATTGCCAAATGATCTTCTAGTGATTGTTAAGCTCTAAATCAGATCATATAAGTTGGGTTTGTTATATATATTTTCAAGGTCCTGATTTAAAAAAAAAGGTTTACGTGTTGGTCCGTGACGAATTGATACAGAAATATTTGCCAATTCTTGCGGGTCATGAGTGAATTTGTGGGCCTAAAAAAAAAAAATTTTTGTCTTTTATTTGTATTATTGGTTTATTATATAAGTTTTTAGTAATATACGTTTGTTAATATATTATTTGTTCTTAGTTATTATAAATACATTTTTTTTAGTCTTGTTAATTTATAAATTTTAATACCATAAAAAAAGTTATTCAAAATAGAGCTTTAGATTTCAAAAACTTGATCTAGAATTTGATGAGTTGATAAAAATCTTTACTTTTAAAAATTTTATTTTGATTTTTTATAATTTATTGGTTAGATTTATTATATTATATTTGATTTGACTTTTACAACATATCTGATTTAAAATGCATTATATTTGTGTCACAATGCAATTTATGATTAAAAAAAACATTTGGTGCGATAATTGGTTTGATATCGAAAATTAGATGACTCCGATTAGTAATCTCAACTACTATTGATATATAGTTTGCAATGGTACAAAATACAAAAAAAAAAATGTATAGCAGCTTATATCGTATTCTAAATATTTATTTGAATATTCCAAACAAATAATATTATTTGAATATTTTTAAAATTATAAAAAAAAAGTTGACAAAAAGTGGTCAGAAAAAAAAAAAGGTAAATTCGAATTATGAGATTCGATTAAATTTTTTTTTTCATTATATGTGAATTAGATGATTTAGATCGACGTGACGAGATGATGAAAATTGGTGGGTGGGACCAACAAAAAATTATGTGAAACTCCACTCTTGTGGGACCGACCCATGTTTATCTCAATCTTCGACTCATTGAGTCATAGTTGTGGTTCTCCTCTAATTTTGAATATTCAAATATAATTAGATTCTTCAAATAATTTATTAAATTAAAATTTTTCAACCATTTCTTTAGTTGGGGTCAAATCCTAGTCATTATCATTTGAGACACTTACCAAAATATGAAATCTCATTTACTTTTGAAACAATAAATATCAATTGAGTTTTGATATATTGGTGAATTGAGGCTAATCTTAATAATTAGTTTAGGAGAGAGGAAATAGATGAGCGTTGAATTTTAAAATTTCAAATTTTAGGAATAAATTGAAAACATGTTAAATTTTATTTTTTATTAATTAGTACCTATAGAGATTTGTTATATCATTTTAACGGATAATTTCATAATATGTATTAGACATTGTTTTAACACATTTTTTTTAGTTTCATATTATTTTTATGAAATATTTATCAATTTAAATAAACGTAACTTGAATATATATATATATAATTAATAAATTAAAAGATATTTATAATATTAATCTATAAGTCATTTTTCCAGTTTTCATAAATTGGTGTTTTTAATGTAGAACTAACTAAAAATAATAAAAAAATGTCCAAATAGTATGTGTAAAAAAAAATCTTCGAAAACTATTGCTTTTAACTATAAAAAAAATACAAAACTATCCTCGAAACTTGATATAAATTAAGCCTAAAAATTTCAAACATATGGATCATAAAAATTTTCAATTTAAAAGAGAAGATCATGTGATTCATATTACTGAAATTTTAATTTTGCTGACGTGGACTGTTGTGGTTCTACAAAAACAAACAACCGTGTACATTACATTGATTCAATGAATTTTATTATTTGAATAACGCGGTCAAGGAATATAACAATATTTTAAATTTTTATATTGTTTTAAAGTTACAAATTTTTAGAAAAATCGTTATTTTTTTCCACTACTCTTTACTTTTTATACAAATAATAATAATACAAATATTTATGAGATATAATACCAATATTCCAATATAACATGTCATTAAGGGATGGGTAATACGTGTAGACGAGAGTTTGAACATATTTATATCTTCTTGTTTTAGCACATGAAAAATTCAGACCCTTTTTTTTTCAAAACTAGATTTTGACAACATCAGAAGAAATATCCCAAGCTCAAACTTTAAATTTGGAGAATAATCTTATAATTTAAACCATATGAATGATTTTCGGCTTCAGATTAGTCTGAACTTTCGTCTAAGATATTCGGTTATAAAAAAAATATGATAGATATGTGGAAACCAATTCATCCTTTTAATATATTACGATGCAGATAGATTCTATATGGCCACAAAGAGAGAATAAAAAAAAAGATTGACAGTGGAACGAACAAACCCTAATTGAACCCAACCCCACTTGCTTGATATACAAGAAAACCTTTTTTGTTTTTGTTCTTTTTAAGACATGTAATACAGAATGACGTCACGGAGAAGATGACTCAGTTGCTTGATGTACAAGAAACCGCCTCTTTCAACAGTTCTCTTCAACTGAAAAACCTTTGCCGCTCGCCATTTCCACCGCACCTTTGCCCTTTCGTGGCTTGAACCAGAAGGCACATATCATGTAAACCACGATATTGATCCCGCTCAGGACAGCCAGTAACCAGTAGAAGCGATCGAGCCGACCGTGGTTAATGTTGTCGGCTAACCATCCTTGTCCATTTCCGGAACTTCCCGTCACCTTTTTCACCACAGACACCAGGAAGCTGCTGACGAAAAACCCTAACGACAACGTTGTCAAGAAAAGACCGGTGCTCATCGTCTTCATCCCTTTGGGTGACTGAGTTATGAAGAAATCGAGTTGGCCCGTGTATATAAAGGCTTCTCCCGAACCCACGAGGAAGAACTGCGGCACGAGGAAGAACACACTGATCGGTAGAGTCTTGCTATGAGCTGTGGTGACGGATTTCGCTACCGAGAGACGTTTTTGCTCGGCCAGAGCCGCAGCCGCCATCCCGAGCGTAGACAGAACTAGTCCAATAGCCATTCTTTGCAAGTTTGAAAAGCCTGAAATGTGTATATACATATATATATGGATTACATTAGTAGATCAAGAGAAGGTTTGAATAATCGTGAATGTCGCTTTCTTTACCTGGTTTCCCTTTCCATTTCTTCCAGAGAGGCATTATCGCACGGTCATAAACCGCGAGAGTGATGAGAATAGCCGCCACGAAGAAGACTGTAAGTGAACCTGCAGGGATCATGAAGCCTCCGATGGTACGTTCCATTGTCGATGCTTGTTCAACCGAGAACGTTATCATCTGTGCATATGTTGTCCAAAAGATTATGGTAGTTGCCCAAATCGGCAAGAGCCTAACCATCATTTTCACTTCCTCGATCTTTGTAACCGAGCATAACCTCCACGGGTTTGGAATCGCCGTTCCATCGAGGTTTTTGTCGAAATCTCCTTCCGCAACTATTGCCGCCTTGTCCAATAAGCTACAATCGAAAACACGAAAAAAGATATCGACCCAATCCTTATACGATCTTTGAGATACTAACTAACCGATGAGACAAAACACTTACTGAAACTGGTCGGTATGTTCGACCCGTAAGCCCTCGGGGGCATCCTCGTATAGATAAGCGACGCTTTGAGGCAATTCCATCTTCCTCTTTCTCGAGGAGGCGGCCAAAACTTGTAAAATCTGGACAACTGGACTCCCCTGGCTCTTCTTGAACCGGTACCTCTTAGTTCCGGACAGGAACAGTACAATGGCTATAACCATAGACACAGTGCAAATCCCATAAGCCCAGCTTCTCCCCACCTCATCTTGCATGTAAACAAGTACTGTGACAGCCATCAACGTTCCCATGCTTATGAAGAAGAAGAACCTATCAAAACCATTGACGCAAATTATAAGTACCATTGATTTGTAAGAACAGATCATAATGCAGTACGTTGTTGTCTGAAGATAGAAAAAGCTCGAACCTATTGAAGAAGTAAGCCATTTGCGACTTTTCCTTGGGGTCCTTGTCGTCGAACTGGTCAGATCCAAATCCAGAGACACTAGACTTGAGTCCACCTGTTCCAAGGGCTATGAGGTAAAGTGCTATGTAGAGAATTGTCATCTGAAACCCGCTAGCGGGTTTGCAGTGTTCGCCATGGTGGCACGGTGGAGGACGGAGCCCGGGCAACTTCGTAGCTAATGCTAAAGAACCAGTTCCCTGTTCATAGGAAGTGAAGAATCATTAAACTTCAAAGCATTCTTACCAGGCACTAGGTACAAAATCCATGCACCTTAGGAACAACTCATGTCAGAATTTTGATATTAAAAAAAAAAAAAAAAAACCTAGCTTTCACATAGGGTGTCAAACGGTCCGGGCCGGCAGTTAGCCCGAGGGATTACGGGTTTGGGTTGGGTCCGGCCCAAATTTTTTCGGGCTTATAAAAGCAAGTCCAAAATCCGACCCCGACCCTATAAAATTGGGTTTGGGCTCGGATCGGATTGGGTCAAGATGACCCATTGGATTAGTTTTTTTTTCTTTTATTTTTTTCACAATTTCTTTTGTAAATCGGGTTTTTAGACGGTTTCTAAGTCTGTCAGATTTAACCTGATCAAACCTGAAATTCGATTTGAGTTCGATCCAAAAACCCAATTTTTTTTTACGGATCTACAAATTCAAACCCAAACCCCACTATTTTTTGGGCGAATTCGGGCCGGATTTTAGGTCTCGGACCAAAATTGACACCCTACATTCCAAGACATGTAAATAGATATTTTTCACAGTGGAAAATCGTGTTTTACCAGCAATTGAACGAAGGCGAAAATGGCGATGGTTTTGAAACGGCCGAGGAAGGAGTCGGCGAGGAAGCCGCCGAGCAGGCAGAGGAGGAAAGAGGTTCCCATGAAATCGGTGACAATGTTTGCAGAGGTTGAGCTCGGCAGATGCATTGTGTCCATCAGATATGTCACCAAGTTCACTGCTATTCCCATTGTTGAAAGCCTCTCCACTATCTCTATCCCTGCAATTTTAATATAATCCAGTTTGTTTTTTTACTTATATATTATTCAACCAAAATACAAAAATTATAAACCAGACAAAAATACAATATTACAATAATGGTTTTAGCATAAGTAAATACACGTTACAAACATGATAATTCAAGCATAAGTAAATAGTAACTTATTAATAAAATCTAATGATTATTTTTTGTGATGGGTTTAAGATAAAGACGACTACACTACACATATTTTTAAGATATATATATATACGTTTTGAATCGAATTGAATCAAGTAATAAATATAGTTAAGTGAAATTCAATATAAAAACGGATTAAGCATACAACAACACCACCAACTCATTCCCAAGTTCATTTATAAAATAAAATTTGAAAAAATCGAACTATTTATAAAACCATTTAAAATCCAGACGAAAATAAAAGTTAAAAACATATTTAGTGAGCGGATATTTTTAAAAAGTGTAGAATGAAACCAATTTTCGAAACACTATATATATAAAAATAGAATAAATATAAATTTCTCTTGAACCGAAAAATTCAAATTCAAAATTCACACAATGGACCAAAAATAAAAATAAAAATAAAAATATCTCCCTGTATGCCCGATCTAATCTGTTTAAGAAACCGAATCTGTTAGAAATGATTCAAAGATTGATTGATTTTGGATTTTTCAGAGTATGATTGAGACAACCACTATTATCAAAAATCGTGGGTCGGAATCTGTAGACACATACATTCAATTATTGCAATTAAATTATTCCAATTTGTGGGCCCACATAAGCAAATTAGCATAGAAGACGTGTTTCTGTAATCAGGCAAAAGGTGGGACAATGGAATAATAAGTATCCTTTGGAAAATGCCATGAAATTCTCTCCTCACGCAAGATATGATAATATTCGAATATGAATCAACGGGATGCCGCATCCTTCTTAATCTACCATAAACTATAACTTATATGATCATACAAATTAGTCGGACCAAATAATTAAATAACATTTATTTAGAAAAAATTGTAATTCCGAAATCAGAAAATCAAAAGACTAAACATTTTATGCGTATAATATATGAGAGAATCTCTTGATGTGAGTTCCTATGCTTTAAAATTACAATAAGGCAAAATAATATTAACCGACTATGTATATGGAGACGGGTTGTATTTTTCCTAGGTAGACATGTGAATATACTTGATCTAATGTTATATTCATTTTATTTTATTTTGGGATATAAAAATGAATAAAAAATTTGAATGGGACGTGGTATTAATCCTAAGTAGAAGAATATAATTAAACATAATCAATAATACTATATATATATATATATATATATATATATAAGTTGGAGATTTTAGATGGGGACCCCATGTGGTGTGTCCCCTTCGCCTTTTCCACCTCCTTTGGTATCTCCTTCACTCAAATTAGAAAAAAGCTGAACTAAACGTGATAACTCATACATATATTTGCATGCATACTTATACATATATATATATACACACACGTATATATACATAAATATAGATATGTTTATGTATATGTGTTTATCGAGTGTGATGGGTTTTATAAGATGAACCCGTGAACAAAATTCATAAAGTTTGCCAAGTGGGTTATCTCGCTATCCATGCATTTATTGACTATATATATTGGAAATAATTAAGCCTTCACCAACCATATGTGCATGAACAACTTATAACCTCTTTCTCCTCATCATAACTATAACACATACACATACATAAACATGTATGCATGCATGCATGCATGCATATTGGATAACGTTCGAGCATGTGCAGCGCATGTGTCCTCCGTCTTCATGTGAATTATTAGAGATATGATAGAATTATTATGTAATCTACATATAGGATATGCTTTGGAACACAAACACATGAACATGTAGAATATATATATATATATATACTGTTATTTTGGGTGTTTCTAGCTGTAATACGTGGCCCATGGAAATGACATCAAGACAAGGATTTTACGTATTAAAATGCGTCTCTAAGGCATTAATTATACACCTTTATGGGTGAATCAATAAAATCCACTTCCATTGAAGAAATCGGCACAATCTCATGTCATTAAATACAAAGCCAATCAAAATGGTGAAGACGTTGTGTATATATATATATATATATATATATATATATATATATATATATGTAGG